TCTGCAGCCTCTGTGGGGGCTCACTTTGATGCCCATTGAAATCAATGGGGATTTTTTTAGTGTTATGACAGAAATAGAATTAGGCCTTAAAGAAGACTGTGTTGTGCATGGATATGTAAATCAATGTATGAAGTTACCAAATGTCTCCAGTGTGCAAATTTTACAAATAATACATCATACTTTTGACCAGTTGCAGAAGTATAATGTGTAACGCACAGGAAGTCCAAAACATTGTATGTCACATTCAGATACCAAATATTTCTGTGTCGTTTGAGTACAGAAGATAAAATAATTTTCTACTCTCTCTTCTCATCAAGCACAGAAAGAGACTGGTCCTGTTCCAAAGTTGGAGAATGAACATAGGGATAACCTCTCAGAGTTCTTACCAACCCTTTTTAAAACTGTGATTTGAAACTTCAAAATTCCACTCTTTTCCCTTTTTGCTTTCATTCAGCAGAAGGGATGAATAAAATTAATTATTCTTTATTTTTTAACCGCTTTTGTCCACAGAATGCCTTTTTTTGTGCTGGTTTGTTTTTGGTTTTGGTTTTTTTTGTTGTTGTTGTTGAAGTTGGAGTACATACATGCAGTGGGTTTGAAACTGGGGTTTATGCATGGTGGGAAAGTCATTCTGTTGGTAGTTCCTCAGAAGGCAGGGTAGTTTTAACTTAGTTCTGTGTAAGATTCAATAGGACTGGAGATTTAAGTACATTTTGCCCAGTGAAAGACTTAACCATGTTGGATTCAGTTTGAACAGACCACAAACAGTGATAATGGGGGGGGGGGGAAAACTGAAATTTAATAATTTCTCATTAATTCCATAGTAGCTGTTTCCCATGGAGCATATGGGGAATACAGTGTAAAAATAATAATATATTAAAATATAATGCTTAGGGAAGAAAAGAAAGGAGTTAAACACACTGTTCCTTCTCTTTCTTTTCATCAAAGGGAATGAAATACTGGATACTCTTACTAGTAAGACTCTGGTTCAAAGAAGAATTGCTAAAACGTGTGGTTTAGTCTCCATGTCTGCAGATGTTTTCACTGAGATGAAGGGCCTGACTGGACCAAACCAGCACCAGCAAACAGAAGATTCTTCTAATACAGTATGAAGAATTTAAGGCTATATTTACCCATTTTGAAGATGATAAAAATTTTCTTTTCACTCTCCGTAGAACAAGAGATGGTAGTGTTTAATCTGCAGATTTGTTCTATGTGTATAAATTATCCCATCTTTAGTCTCACCCGTTGTTCTGTTTTAGAGTTGACACAGTAGCATCATATGTGGTCAAGGGTATTTGTTTAAGAAACACTCCTTGTACACATATTATCTTCATAGGTTTTTAAAAAATCTTAATTTCAAAACTGATTTTAATCTTTTGTCTTTCCACATTTCTTGGTTATCACTAATAGCAATAACACTTGGAGATATCCCTGTTAGTTATGTAAGCTAACATCCAGACATTTACAGTATATAGGTTGGAGAGAGCCTGCTGTACATCCCAAGGGTCTAACTAACATTCTTTTCTTATATTCTTAATTTAGTGTAAGAAGATGAGGTAATGAGGTGCTGCAGTGATTTTATTATTTCTTCCTTTGCTAAGTGATTAATTTCTCTTTTCCTAGATTCATAGAGTGAAATATAAATTAGCATCCTTTACTACTTTACTTTTTTAAGCATCTAGTTCATTCCAAAGTGAAAACTGTCCTATATTAGTGTGACCTTTTGAGAGATCTCATAGTAGTGGTATTGATCAGTGACACAAGTTTTAGAAATCATGCAGAGAAGCAGCCAGAATCTCAGCTGAAGTCTGTATAAACCTCATCTGTCTCTCTCAGTTGGAGTGATGCTGATGTTGCAATACTTATGCAAAATGAGGAAGAACTTGGCTGCTTTCACATCTCTAAATTTAGTATGTGGGTGGGCCAGGACAGTGAAGAGTTTATAACATCTCTGCAGCAAAGTTAATAAATCCATTTTGTGTGTGGACCTCTGTAAACCTTTTGTCATCCATTAAAAATGGTGCTGTGCTGTTGACAGTAAGTGTCAGTAGCAAGAAAGTCTGGAGGAAGACCTAGTACACATTTCCTGTAACATTAAAGCCACTGTAATTATGGGTCATTTGCCTGTTTTTTTTGTTTTTTTTTGGTTTTTTTTGGTTTTTTTTTTTTTTGGTTTTTTTTTTTTGGTTGGTTTTTTTTTTTTGTTTTGTTTTTTTTTGTTTTTTTTTGTTTTTTTTGTAATTAAGAGGTTTAATTGCTTCTAGTTCCAGGGAATTAGTTAATCTTTTCAATATGCATATTGCCTTCCATAATCATCATCTCCTTTCGTACAGGAAGCTTTGTGACATCATAAGAGTCAATTCGGTCTTTCAAGGCAGAGCAGTGAAGTACATTTCTTTGTATGTGTTGGATTAGAAAAGGTTTCTGAAAGGCTGTTTCTGTGCAACATTTAAGCTTATTCTTCAAAAGTCAAAGTATCAGGTTTGCATTTACTGTCCTCAGAGTCACAAACCAAAGTACTGTTAAGAGGCACAGTTCTGCCTATAGGATTTGTTCTGCTCTAACAGCAATTGTTCTAAGCTTGGCAGGATCAGCTGTTTACATATTTGTAGTTCATAGTAGTGATAATGATCAAAATTTGAAGATGTCTGTTGTGTTTTACCCCCAGCTGGCAACTAAGCATCACCCAGCCACTCACCCACTCCTTCCTGGTGGGTTGTG